CTCGAGCGCAGATTTCGTGGCAAGCGCAGTGCACAGAGCCTCCCGGACTAGCTGCGGCGCGCGTGGTTGCCGCTGGGCCGCGGCTGCCGTTTGTGTGGCAGGCACAGCACTCTCTGCACCTGGAGTGTAGATTTCGTGGCAGGCGCAGTACACAGAGCCTCGCGGAGCAGCTGCAGCCGCGGCGCGCGTGGTTGCCGCTGGGCCGCGGCTGTCGTGTGTGTGTGGTAGGCGCAGCACTTGGTGAACCTGGAAGGGGGGGCTTCGTGGCAGGCACGGCACTGTGTGCAGCCGCTGGGCGGCGGCTATTTGTGTGGCAGGCACAGCGGTTGGTGAACCTGGAAGGGAGATTTCGTGGCAGGCACAGCACTCTGCGCACAACTGTTATCCACTCATCACACACCACTCATCAAACACCACGCATCACACACCACTCATCACCCACCACTCATCACACACCACGCATCACACACCACTCATCACACACCACTCATCACACACCACTCATCTTACACCACTCATCACACACCACTCATCTTACTCCACTCATCACACACCACTCATCTCACACCACTCATCACACACCACTCATCGCACACCACTCATCACACCACTCATCACACACCACTCATCGCACACCACTCATCTCACACACCACTCATCACACACCACTCATCTTACACCACTCATCTTACACCACTCATCACACACCACCCATCACACACAACTCATCACACACCACTCATCACACACCACTCATTACACACCACTCATCTTACACCACGCATCACACACCACTCATCTGACACCACTCATCACACACCACTCATCACACACCACTCATCACACGCCACTCATCCTACACCACTCATCTTAGACCACTCATCACACACCACTCATCACACACCACTCATCTCACACCACTCATCACACACCACTCATCACACCAGTCATCACACACCACTCATCACACACTACTCGTCTTACACCACTCATCACACACCACTCATCACACACCACTCATGGCACACCACTCATCTCATTCATTTTTATCGTCCAGTATCTTTCCGTCCTCTTTTCTTATCAGTCTCTACTTCTCGTTGATAGTTCTTACATGTTCTTACAAGCTTAACATGTGGGGTTATCCGGCCCTTTTATTAGTCTCGAGTCTCTAAATGAGTGGATATTGGGAACCCCCATCCTCCAATGTGTGCCGAACAAACGAACAAGATCGGGGAAGGTAGCCCAACAACTAAGGTCGACCCCGATAGTGCACGCAAGTCTCCGCACTCCATGGGCGCCCCGGTCCGGCGCTATTCCTCAAAAGAGGGGGTACATATAAACCAAACTAAACCTATTGACGTATGTCGTTAGGTTCACCCTATTGCTTTAACGGGGGACAACAAACAAAGGGTTTGCCCTGCCGACTCTCCGGCGCTCCTGCGCAGCTTAGGTGGGTACCACCCCGGCCGCTCACCAAAACTGCTCAGCACATTGAGCGCCCCCACCGACGGCTGAGCTTAGGCAGCACCTCAGGCCATCCCACGGCCTTTCCCCGCCCTTTACTACCCTTGCCTCCTCTGCCCTTTCCTCCTGCGCCCTTGCCCCTAGCCGGCGCCCCTCCCCAGCCAACCCTCCTTCCCCTATGGCAGCCGGACGACAGTCAGGCAAAGCCGTGAAAAGCAACAGAGCGGGTCCGCTCCACAGGGCTCCCAGCCAGGCGTGAGAACACCAACAACCAAGGCAACAGCCTCTCCGAGTCCGTATAGGACTCCTTCTGGGAACAACCCAGGCACAACCACACGGAGTTTCCGTGGGCCGGCCTTCTGGTGATGCCAGGCAGAGGTCACGGCGTATAGCCGGCCGCAAACTCAGTAGTGCTCAGACAGCGAGATAGCCAACGAGGCGGTAGCCGAACAGCTAGCCCCTAAACCTCGGCTATTCCAGGCAAGCAGATCGAAACGAACCCGACCGGCAACCGAACACGAGCGGGCACCTAACCGACGTTGGGCCTTAGTGCAATTGCGTTTGCGGCGGCGGGCCGAAAGTTGCTGAAAACTCTTGACGTCGACGCAGGCGTTTTCCGACGTACGTAACCCGGAAGACTAGCTCATGCACCATCAGCTGTCGCAAATGCCGCGACTCCGACGGAACCTGTTCCCCCGCAACCTTCCTTTTTCTAGACACCTCTTCGAGCCGGCAGACACAACACCTCCACTCCCCTCAGCAAAGCACCGCGCCTGGCGAAGCCACTCCCGAAGCGCCGAACATCGTCGGGCCTAAAACACCATGCACACCCCCGCCGAGTCCACCCCTCCAGACGTCACAGCAGCGTTCTGGCCAGGAACGACTGACTGCTGACCCCAACGACACAAAAGGTGGAAGAGGTACATCCACCGACTGGGAGGTCGAAGGGGATTGCTCGCGTCCCACCCCCACCTTTGAGCAGAAACACCAGCAGAAGCACAAACACAAAACACCCGGAGGCTCCAGACCCGTAGGACTGGAATGGGTTTGCCTTCGGCATCCAACCCCCCATGGATACACCTCCAAACGCCGCCCTCCCATACACCTGCACCCGTCTACCAGCTCCATAGGGACCCACACCGGGTACTTGCTACCGAAGTTGCCCCGCAGCCGCCCGCGAGGAGGACCAATGTGTACACCCTTTATGACTCCTGGTATATATTCCATACGAGTACGTACATGGAGTGTCTCGGCCTTGCTTCGTGAAGCACGCGTTTTTGCGTTTCGCACGCGTTTGTCGCATTTCGCACGCCAGGCTTTTGGCGTCCCCACCAGGTCAGCGCCCGCTGCGTCTGCGTCACCTTGCTAGGCAGAGGGGTCGGGCAAAGGAGGAATGGTGGTTTTCTTGGCTTGGTGAAAGCGCAAGACCTCCTGATAGATGATAGGTGAATCCTCTTGGCTGGTGGATCCTGGGTAGATCCCAAGAGAATTCATTGGTTGTTGCATCGGATTTTGCCATGTCGAGATCATGTCGAGCTCCAGGGGAGCTTGACAGGTGGATCACTGGCTCTTTGCATGGCTCTTTGGATGGTAGCTTTTGTGGGTCTTCGGTGAAGGAGAGGTGCTGTGGCCTTAGGCCGTAGAGCTTCTGATAGGTCTTCGGTCTTCGCTTCTTGGGGCCGTTGGGAGCTTCTGATAGGGAATACCCCTAAAAACCATTGGTTGGTAGAGGAAAACAATCTTCCAGGGGGCCATTGTCAGGGTCTATGTTAGTTTTCGGGAGTGTATCTGGAAGTTCCTCAAGGAAGATGTCCGGGAATCCTGAAAACGGTCAGGAAGGTGCACGCCAATCCCTTCCAACACAGAACTCTTCCGAAGTCCACGCCGTTGGACACCGGTTCCGGGTTTTTGGAGACGAGACTCGAGTGTTCTTAGCTGGTTGGATCATGGTTGGACAGTTCTGGCACACTGGGATTGCAACAACCATTGAAAAAATATAGTCTTTACCAAACAACCCTGGACCATTGTAGTCCTAAGGAGTTTATCCTACAAAACCAGGTCCTCCAGTTGTAACTGGTCTTTGAGCGCTACAAAAAATATCAAAAAATCATGGCTCTGGTCCCTGAAGGCCTGCCACCTCCGCTAAGCTACCGCGCTGCTAGCCGTCCTCGCAGCCGCCGCGGCCTGCCAGGAAGGAGATCCGATCCCAGGTCGTCTACTGCGAGGGAGAAAAGTGAACGTTAGCACCACCTGCAAAAGCACAAAGCAAGAGAAACTTACAGATCAAAAAAGGGAACTGGAGTTGCTGGTGCAGGAGTCCACAACTCCATTCCACTTTTAAAACGAGCACTAGCTGAAGCAGGGCTCCACCTGCTAGGGCTCCGCCCAGGTTGACGTCGAGGCGTGGCAGGGAATGGATGGGTGCCACACTCACCGGAGACTCACCACGCGGATCGGTGGCTTTTCGGACGTCAGTCATGCGACACCGTCCATCCGACTGGGTCCACATCATGAGGAGCATGATGGCCTGGATTCATGTCTGTTGAGTTTGACCAAATGGCAGTGGGTCAAAACCTGGAGCTCCAACAAAAAGTTGCTTAGGTTGACCATCCCTGGACCTCCCTGGCCGATTCTTCTTCTCTTCCCTAAGAAGCCCAGACCAACATCCCTATAGGTTTGCGTACCGGGCCCGGACCCGTGCGATTCGGTGTGGGGGCCCCACATGGCCCATCAAACACCTGCGTTTCCCTAGCCAAACGCATGCCAGCACCTTCAAAGGGGTCACCTGGCTGGTTTCGCCCCAGCCCTAAGGGACCTCCATTGGACACCCCTTGAAGGTCCAGGTGTGTGAGTTTGTATGTGAAAACCCTTTACCTTTGGAAACGGGCCGGGCCACTGGAGGATCCAACCGACCCAACTGCGCCACAGTGCAGAAATGGAAGCACCCGATTCTTGTGGTGCTGGCTCCGCCGGAGATGGTGCCCTCCAGGCCGAGGTCGGGGAATTTGGATCTCGTTTGGTTGGAGATACTCAGGTTGGAAACACAAGACAAACATCTTTGGACTCAAGTTTGACTCAAGTTTGGACCAGTAGACTTTCCAGTCTTCTGGGTCAGACTGGACACAGACTGGACACAGACTGACCATTGTAGACCCTGTCAGACTGGCCAGGCGCCGGCCGCTCGACCAGATCGCAGGTGCGCGGCGCATGTTTCTCTCAAAGCAGGTCGCTGCTGACTCCGATGGCACTCCGACTCTGACGCTTAGCGATGGCACCGTTTTTTGGGACAAACCCAGCCGTCCAGAAACCAGTCGTAGCCGCATTCATCACAGTGACACTCTTTTGGTACGATTCTTTTGCACCCCCGTAGCGTGCTCATGTCGAAGTCCTGGTCATCATCGTCATCCAACGCAAAGATGGGCACTCTCACAAACAGAGAACCGCAGCCCATGAATGCTTGAGGCCCGATGTGGGTCACAGAGTCTGGGATGTTCAAGCTCGCAAGAGACCTGCACCCATAAAAGGCCCTCGGTCCTATATTGCTCACAGAGTTCGGGAGTGTCAACTTGGTCAAAGAGCTGCAATCAGCAAAGGCACCATCTCCGATGTGGGTCACGTTCGGGATGGTTACGGTTACCAAAGAGCTGCAATCAGCAAAGGCACCCTCTCCGATGTGGGTCACGTTCGGGATGATTACGGATACCAAAGAGCTGCAACAAGCAAAGGCACCATCTCCGATGTGGGTCACAGAGTCTGGGATGTTCAAGCTCGCAAGAGACCTGCACCCATAAAAGGCCGCCGGTCCGATTTCGCTCACAGAGTTCGGGAGTGTCAACTTGGTCAAGGAGCTGCAACGACAAAAGGCATCATGCCCAATGTATGTCACAGAGTCTGGGATGGTCACGCTCGCCAAAGAGCTGCAATCAGCAAAGGCACCATCTCCGATGTGGGTCACAGAGTTTGGGATGGTCAGCTTCGCCAATGTTTCACACTCGTAAAAAGCATCCTCAAGAATGTGCGTTTCACCGTTGGGAATTTCGACCACTAGCAGCAGTTCGGAGTCGACGATGCCGCCAAGATTGACGATCTCATCTTTGTTGGAGCATATCACTTTGTTTGGTCTGAAGACGACAGTCACACGGGTATCTTCAGCAATTCCAACGTCCAATACTTTTGAATCGTTGGCCAGCAAATGATTGTCTCCAACAATGATCTCCACACTTGTAGTGCGGCGAGTGAGCTCGTCCCAGTGCTGTCCTTCCTTGATCTGCTGCTTGAGCAAGCGGCCTGTTGTTTCTGGCGTGACTTCAAGAACTAGGACTTCACCACTTGGCTGCAGCGCTGAAATCTTTGTCGCCATGGCTCAAAGACTATACGGATTAGGATTGTTTCGGATTAATAGGGATCCTTGCTCGCTAGCGTTCAACAGCTCTCCTTTTCTTCTGTTTCACACCTGGGCATGGCTGGCGATTTGGACACCGATGGCAAAACCATCCTCGATCGACCGGTCGCTTGTTTCAAACAAATTGATCTAGATCGGAATCGGAGTGAGAACGCTCCGGACGTCTGGAGATCTCCGGTGAGTGATGGGTTCAGTTCGGTTCGCTTCGCGTCGCTTCGCCCACGCGTCGGTCCCGAGAACGGGATCGGAACCGACGCGCTCGTCCCGCTCGTCGAAGCGAAAGGCGTATAGCCCTTCTTTCCCGACGGGTCCGTTGGGAAGAAGACCATTTGCGGGAACAGTCTGGTGACTTGTAAATCCCTTAGTATAACAATGGTTGTTTGGGATGACCCGGCTGTTGAAACAATGGTGGGCCACGACTTCTAGGGCAAACCTGGAAACTTCAATGAGGATCCTGTGGGCATTCTCCTTGAGTCTCCAAAGACCTTTTATTTCTGCGTTTTTGCTTTTGGTCTAATATTTTTGCGTTTTTGCTCGAAAAACGCGTTTTTAGAGATGAGGACTCAAAAAAAGGTGCAGAGTGAATCTTCATCCGGACGCGTCCGGCACGGACGCTTAAAAGCGCCTTTTGGACGCAAAAAGACGCGTTTTGGACGCCGAAAAAAGGTCTCAGGACACTGTCTAAGGAGGATCTGACAGGGCACAAACAAAAAAGGAACATTTCGTGACATATGCAAAAAAGAGTGCTTTCTTTCAAAAACCTCTTTTTCTTGGAAAGGCAAATTTAAAAGGGTCATTGGAGACTCAAGGCTCGTATATGAGCCACGGTCATCAATTATTTATGCTAAGGATGTGTTTTATCGCTTTCGTTTTTTGGGGAGACTTTATCGGCTTTCAGCTTTTTATTCAACCAAATGCTTTTGGCATTTTTACATTGTGGACGCATGCAGCGAAGCTACCTACTCGCTGAAATCAGAAGCAGTGGATGACGAGCTTGTTCACAGCTCGCTTGTCAGCAGCGGACAAAGGCATTGCAATCTCGAGTGGGTTTGTGAAATTTGGTGTACCTATCTCTATCTGAATCTTTATCGGCCTTCTGTTGAGTGTGAGTTGTGCGATAGAATCATGTCAAAACGCGGGGTTTTGCATGGTATTGAGTCGACAAGCATGACGAATCATCATGAAAACAAGACAAGTGCAACAAAAACAGGGGCGGTGCTGAAAAATCGTTCCAATATCGATCCAAATGGACTGCTGGAACATCTACCGAATGGACTGCTGCACCTTTTTCAAGGGATCTCCAATAGACCAGTACCCCAAGTTGGGAAAGGTTGCATGGAATGATTTGGCCTAGTGGCCCGTTTTTCCATCAAAATCCTTAAAGAATCTAGAAGTCGTGGCCCACCATGTGGAAAATAGCCTAACAACCCAACAACCATTGTTGTACTAAGGAATTTTTACACAACAAGACCAGATTGTTCCCATTTTTTTTGATGATCGGATTGACTTTCAGGGTATATATACAATGGTTCTTCGGAATTCATGCGGATTCAGGCTCTGGAAACTCAATGGTGGGGCCCGAACTCCGGCGAACCGCCACCGCGTGACGCTGCCCCACCTGCCTGGTACTCCTCTGCCTTGGCTTGGACATCCGCCGTGGTGCGCCAAATCACCTCGGTCTTCGGAGCGGACGTGGACACGAACGGTCCGAGCGGAGCAGAGGTTCGGGGCCCCGCCCCAAGCAGGTGGCGAGTGCGACCAAACGATCTCGCTTGCTTATGCCCTAGAAGTCCAAATAAGACCGGGGCACCACCGGTGCTGAAGAAAATTCCTGAACTCACTCAGATCACCGAACTCGTCAGACCGTTTTTTAAGTGGTCTCCTATAGGGAATGGGTATTGGGCAAACTGACTTTTGGCTGTTATATATGGAAGGCGAGCAATGTTCTTTATGATGATATAGGGCTGATGTGGGGATTTGAAGTTGGCACTTATACCCACTCTTCATCACAATTCCAAATAGTTTGCCAAATAGTGTGGCTTTTCTGTTTCCAGGCTACAGCAGCTTCCAGCCGTGCAGCTTCCCTGGCCATGTCTTCACACCGCCCACGAGTCACTCCCCGCGGCAGCCCGCGACCCGCGGGACCCGCGGGACCCGCGAGACCGACCATTCGAGCTGCCAGGTGTTCGGCGCCCAAGCGAGGGCCAACGAAGGCAAAGAAGCCTCGCTTGGGCAGACAGACCCGGTCTCCGACTCGAGGGTTGGGGTCCACTCAGACCCGGGCGACTTAGGTCTAGCATTGGTGACCGAGACCAAGTGAGGAGGCTGGTACATGTATGGTTCTAATTACATTGTACCTAAGGCTTCATGAACCTGCTACAAAGGCAGGACCAGCCAGGAAAGCCAGGTGATTGATTCAAGAACCGGGTTTTGGAAAAAAAAAGCTACCGGTTTTTCACCATCACAAGAGTTCCATGTCCAAATCCACACGAGTTCCGATGCCTTCTCTGTGTCACAGTGCAGGCACCGCGAGCCGGACGCAAACCCCGAGCCGATGGGCCGAGATGGGCCGATGGTCCATTCAGGGTGGGTTGAAAAGGGGTCATTGATGCCATGGAGATCCATGGAGTCTCTATACCAGCTGCGCCACCGGGCTCAGGGTTCACCTGGCTGGACCTCTCCACACGACTTACAGGTCTCCTAGTCCAGCAGGGCAGCCCGGGTCCAGGAAGCGCTACTGGTCAGGTAGTTGCGTTTGATCTCAAGATGGGGGGTGGTCTGGAGTCTGCGGCTGAACCGCTGGCGGCTGAACAGCTGCCTGAAACGATGGCGAGCTCGCACCGATCTGTGTGTGGAAGGATGTGGCAGGGTAGACCTGCTCACATCTCCTAACATCCCCAAACTATCCCTGCTCACTTCCCCTGGGGCTCCAACCATATCCTCAGAAGGTAGTTAGACCCCTCTGGCACCCACCCCAACCACCGAACCTCAGGAGGTGGTTTATCAATCTTGTCCATCCAACCAGCCCTGTTCCGGAAGCAGTTCTTGCAAGGTCGACGCACCAAGGGTTCATCGACCGGCAACAATGCAACAATCGACCGGCCGGAAGATGAGGTCAGGCCAGAGTCCCAGCACGAACATCGCCAGGAATTCCAAAAGAAACAGAGAAAAACAGAGACCGAAGAGATCTACTTCGAATGCAAGCACGAACATCACCAGGAAAAAAACGTCAGAAAGCCAGACGAGTTCATCACCGGTTCCTCTGTTCATCGGAGCCACGGCGGGCGGAGCCACGGCGGTGCCAAAGCCAGCCCGGGGCACCCCACGCAGGTCTCCGAGCCGCACTTCCCGAGTGCCGGGCCTTGGGGGGGTCGGTCGAAGCAAGGAGGAGGGGGTAGGACCCGTCGGTCGTCACTGACCCAGGCTGTGCCGGGGGGGCCTGTCTGGGGCGGCAGAACTATGGCAGTCCCATGGAGTGGATGGGATAGAAACTTAAATCACACACAATTGGTTCAAAGTTCGTGATTGTATGCATGTGTTTGTGCTTTGACTTGAGTGAGTTGGGTCACCTATGCCACCTGGGCAAAAATAGATACCAGCACCCAGTTCGAGATTTTTGAGGTCGGTTCGTGAGACCTGGGCACTTGGGCCCTTCCCAAGCCTCAACTACCAGGACCTTCCAACAGGTGGTTTTTGGGCACCCCTTGACCTCTAAGAGGCTGTGTATAAACACCTCTTGGAAGGTCCTGGTACATAAAGACTTGGCGGTGAGGGTCCTGGTAGATGGGTGTACGAATGAAATCCCGTGAAAGGTGTCATGTGCTATTACCAATGGGTGCCATGGGCTGTTCGACTGGGGGGGAGAGACCCCCGGCCGGTCTATGGGAGACCTGTGCGAGTTGCCACACAACTATGACGTCAGCGTCCTCGGCGGAATCCAGCGGCCCCCAAACGCATCCCAAACAGGTCCAGTGGCCACGCCTGCATGGATCTTCCGATTTCCCGCGGATGTCCTGTCCTGTCAATCCGGTCTAGTAGTGGGTGTAGGGGGCCTTCCAGCACATTGGAAACCGAACGTGCTGGTACCAGCACCTGCAAAAAGGAGATCACCTGGCGAACAGCCACCCGAGCCCACTGCTATCCGGGACCTCCAGATAGGACACCCCTTAAGAAGATCGATGATCTATAGGTTGTTTTTAGATCCGTTTGGGTGGCGGATGCCGAACTCGGAAAGCCAAACGAAAGCCACGAGCCGGAAAGCCGCTTTTCGAATCCGACGAGGGCCCCCGGACATGGGCTGGGAATAAGCGTCAAAGGCCAGGAAGGCGTCGGCCTGGGCGAAGACGTCCGTCTGCCGATGCTATCGTTTTCCCCTGAGCTGAGGTGGAAACGACGGGAAAGCAAAACGGAGAAGGAATTCGGAGCTTCAGAGCGAATAATTAAGAAGGGGAAATCAAGAAAGTCAGTGTCTTAAGCTGTGTTTTTGGTCTAAGCGACTTGAGGCTCTTTGTGTGTCACGAACTTGGGACTACGTAAATTGAATGGCATACTCTCCACCGTTCAGGCGATTCCTTGAAAATCCCTTCCGCGAAAAGGGGGCTTCACAGAAGAACTAGATCATTGATCTCAATCGGACTGGGCGCCCAACGGGATAGGTCCTGGATGTGGAATGCTTTCGGGTGATCCCCTTCTTCAGGGCGCTGGGGGGGGTGCTCTTTCCACCAGCCAAGGCACACTCCGCGACCGCGACACCCGTGCAGTGCCATCTGGAAGCTTCTGAACCTGCAGCCGTGAAGGTGAAGGCTGTTGACGCGGTTCCCAACGCAGTCCCAACGAATTCCCATCATCTCACTCAAGGGATTACTCTCCCTAAAACTTCGAGTGGAACTCGAGTTGATCAGCAGTTCATCCCCCGTAAAAAAGGTGGAACTGGGCCCAGGTCATGGATCATTGACATGATGACAGCTGGCATTTGAACCAGCTGGCAGTTTGCAGCGGGACCCAAATGGTCTTCCAAGGAGCCATTTTTCCCACCCAGACGCTCCGTTCACAGCTCGACTGGTCCCGAACCAAACCCTAGGGATTGGTTCGGGTCCGGAGCCCTACTGAACGGAGGGTCCATGAGCGTTTGGGCATGTCATCAATGGTCATCATGAGTTCCAGGGAGTGTAGCACCTTCGACTCACCAAATCCCCTGCTTCCGCTGCTTGGAGACTTGCGCACACCGAAGAAAACGAACACCAACTTGTGAGAGGACCATGCTCATGACGACTATATTGTGGTGCTTTCTGGTGCTCTCCGAATTTGAAGAGCTCTTGGAATTTGGACCTGTTTTCCACCAAAAGGCCAAGGTTGGACTCATGAACATCAGCCGCTTTTTGGGTTTCCACGCCCACAGCCGCACATCTGGCCATGGAATTGCAGGCCCTGCAGCACCTCACCGGCCAATCGCTGCTCCAAGGTGTCGAGATGGAGGGGCTGGATGGGGCTGGATGGATACCATGACCTTGGAATAGGTGTATCATAGAACCTACCAAGTACCAGTGTACTACAAACCAAAATAAGTACCAAGTAGCAAGATGTAGCTAAGTAGCAAGTACCAGTCTACCAAGTACCAGCGTACCACAAATGTTCAAACCAGATAGTTTGGGCATCAAAAAAGAAACGCACGCTTATTTAAAGCAGACCGGCATGGGTCTTCACCAACCAAAAGCAGAAAGCTTCTAAAACGGCCATGGGCTTAACGCATGGTTTCCTGGATCTGCCGCTGGAATGCCGTTCTGGAGTTCCTGCGCGACAGGCATCTCTTACTGGACAGAAAAAGAAAAAGATGCTTATACCTGGACCTTCAAGGGGTGTCCAATGGAGGTCCCTTAGTGGTGTAGGGGCTTCCATTGGTGACCCCTTTGAAGGTGCTGGTGTATACTACTAATTTATAGTAATACTGTAATACTATTATATGGAATTCGTGTTGATCGCGTTCAAAGTCTTGTGTGGAACTCCTTTCAAAGACGTGCAAGAGAGTCGGCCCTCGTTCTCGGCCCACGGGGTCAAATCATGTCAAATCCATTGGTGTGGGTCCTGGTAGTAATTACTGACCTCACTGCTTGTCACTATCTTGACAGCTGAATGTGGGCCCATATGAGCCGCCCATATACCCTAGAATCCTAGAAGTCCGAAGACCATTTTAGGGAACAAGAAACACTTTTTCGCATCACTCAAACCCCATGTTCAAGATGGTCTGGCACTCCCAAATTCAAATTGTATGTCTGTCATCTGAAATCGATCTCAGGGTGAGACACCCCTTCCCTCGCACCCTGCGGAATCCCATGCGTGTCGTCCGCCGCGTTTCCGCGGTCTCGTTTCGGCACCTCCCAAGCGGCTGCGCTGCGCCTCCGCGAGGGGTCCAGACACGACCCGTCGACGGGTTCGCACGGCCGAGGAACGGCTAGGCGTGGTGGTGCGGGATGGGGCGCCACCATAGAATCATGGCGTGGGGTGGGATTCACGACCTCGAACTGCTGGTGCTGGAAAAAGGAAACATGACATCCGTGTCGGTGTAGGTAGTTCACGGGTCCTAGTCATAGGTCAGGTCTGGGTCGGAAGTTCCTATCCCACTCTTCATGTTGCTTCTATCCCACTCTCCACCCCTGGCTTCGGCCTCCAGCCGCTTCCCACCCCCGGGAAAAAATGCACCCACAAACAAAAGACCTCTGCCGAGTAGGTGGCAAGACCCGCGAAGAGGGCAAGGCCTGGCAAACGCTCTCCATCCGTCCTACTAGGAACATCTCCTGGACCCATGGGGGAGGTTCGGGGGCTGAACATGTCCAACAGCCCCTGAATCTCTACCACCCAGACGCTCATGGCGTCTGGGCAGGACCTTCCAAGCCTGGTGGTTTTTGGACACCCCGTATCACCTCTAAGACTCTAAGAGGCTTTTGATATATCCACCTCCTTTTTTCGGCTGCTGGTACCGGCCCGTCGCTTGTTCGACACCCCACCACGGGTCATCCATGCATCATGCGGGAACTGCATTCAACGAGCACTTTCTACCAATCCTGGCGCGCGGGAGAGATGTGATGGGGGCTTCACCCCACCTGGATGACCAACAGAGGTTGAACCCGAACGTTCGATCTATCCTACGTACTTCGGTACCCCTGGTTTTCCGGGTCCTAGTAACCTGGTCACTCTCCACCTCTGTTGGGAAGTCACTGGCAAGAGTTCAACGAATGCTTCGGCACCCGAAAGAAAAACGTGTTGAGGAAACTCCCGTCACCTCGCGTCACCCATGGGTCGACCTCCTGGCAAATACCGGGGTCCAGTCGTACCGAACCGACCCGGTACGGTGATGTGTTCGACACATTTGCCGGTGCCCAAACCGTCGGGTGAAGCGTCGTACCGAACCCTGGGGTTCAGTACCAAACCCTGGATCTCGAGCTGGACGTAACCCTTTCGACCCAATTCCTCGAAACCCACGGCCTGGGGAAAACGCACCCGACGCCCCGGTCGTCGAGCCGTCTCGAGCCAGTCCGTGTCGTCGAAGGCAACGGCTTGCTGAACGGTTTGCTGAACTGTGATCTCTTTATCATCGAGTGTTGGAAGTGGCCAAGTGAACCACAAAATCACGGGGGCCACGGGTCCTACATCATCTTGGACTCCAGTCGATGGTCTCTGATGATGGGCGAAGCAACACGTGACCTCGGTGCGTGCTGCTTTTTGCGTGTTGCGAGACATCCTGAGTCTGGGATGAACAAGTTCGTCACCACAGAAGTGCAGCCTCCAAAGGCCCTATCAATGTTAAGAATCTGCATCCCATTGAGCAGTCCGGCTGACGGTGCAGGATTTCGCAGGGAACAATTGAATCCCAGCATTTCGCTACCTGCATTTCCTTCGCTTCGTCACAGGGCTGTTATCGAAGAAACGCTCCGCCAAAGAGCTGCAATCCTGAAACCCAATGTGGGTCACTGAATCGGGGATGCTCAAGCTTACCAACGAGTTGCAATTCTGAAAGGCATAGTGCCCAATGTGGATCACTGAGTCCGGGATGGTCAAGCTTGTCAAGGAGCTGCAGCACTGAAAAGCCCAATTCCCAATGTGGGTCACTGAGTTTGGGATGGTCAAGCTCGCCAAAGAGCTGCAATTCTCAAAGGCAGATTGCCCAATGTGAGTCACTGAATCTGGAATGGTCAAGTTCAAAAGAGACCTACAATTCTGAAAGCAACCTTTCTCAATGTAGGTCATTGAATCTGGGATGGTCAAGTTCGGCAAAGAGCTGCAACCCTCAAAACCGCGATCACCAATGTGAGTCACTGAGTCCGGGATGCTCAAGTCCACCAAAAAGCTGCAATCCCGAAAAGCAGCATCACCAATGTGGGTCACTGAGCTTGGAATGGTCAATTTCACCAAAGACCTGCAATTCTTAAAGGCATCACACCCAATGTGGATCACTGAGTCCGGGATGCTCAAGTCCACCAAAGAGATGCAATCCCGAAAAGCAGCATCACCAATGTGGGTCACTGAGTTTGGGATGGTCAAGCTTACCAACGACCTGCAAATCTTAAAGGCACCTCCCCAAATGTGAGTCACTGAGTGCGGGATGGTGAGGCTCGTCAGAGAGCTGCAATTCATAAAGGCACAGGCCTCAATGCAAGTCACTGAATCTGGGATGATCAATTTAGCCAACTTTGTGCAGCCTTCAAAGGCGCGCTGAGCAATTCGAGTTTCACTGCTGGGAAGTTCAACAACAAGCAACAGTTCTGGGTCAATCTCACTGCTCAAGCTGGCGATTTCATCTTTGTTGGAGCATCTCAATTTGCTGGGTTTGAAGACCGCGGTCACAACAGCACCCTCCGTGAGCCCCACATCCGCCACCGTTTCATCATTGCCCAGCAAATGGTCTCCAACCACAATCTCCACTACAGTAGTTCTGTGAGTCACATCGTCCCAGGTCTGCTGCAATTCTTTGATCTGCTGTTTGAGCTTTCTACCTGTCATGTCTGGTGCCACTTGAAGAGAGATTGACTCTCCATTCACATGTAGTGCTGAGATTCTCATCGTCATCGCTGATCCATGGTCACTCCATTCGGAATGTTTCGTGATCTTGTTGTCAATGCCAGCCAAAGTTGCTTGGATTGGGTATGCCCAGACTACTGTTGACACTCAACAAGACACGCATTATGTCAAACACACACACAAAAATAAAAATAAACAAAAAAACACATGATATATACTATACCACATCTGCCGTTTGCTGCGAAAGGCCCCCTCCTTTGGGCCAAACACCGCGAGAGCTCTGAGCGACCCAGCAGGGCTCGGCGGACTAAACCCAACTCGATCGGAACACAGTGAAGCCACCACGGTCATCCAGCCACGCGCTTCCTTCGGTTGGGCTCCGTCCCCGGCAGACCGACAGGTGGGGTGAAAAGCGGTTGGAACTGGAACCCACCGGAGGGTGTTCCACAAATCCCTCCAAATCCATCAGGCTCTGTGGTTTTCTTCGCAATCCCAATCATCCGATGGTCCCAACTGACCCAGGAATACATCCACGACCTCCATGTTTGACCCAGCCCTCCTCGCCTTTGCTCCGCGCGCTGCGCGGACACGGCGAGGACGGCGGTGACCACCGCGCGGTGCGCGCGAGGACGGGCACCGCGCGGTGAGGACGGCGGTGAACGCCAGAGCTCACAGTGGGCAGCACAGCCCAGGTCGCCATGGAGCGGTAGAAGAGAATCCCAAAGGAACTGGAGGACTATCCAAGGCAGGCTGTGGTCCATGAATGACCCCTCTTAAGAGATCTTGATGCGTTTGTGGCTTCTTGGATTTCAATGTCCAGGGTGTCTTTTTTCTTTGCCCCTGGTGCTTTCAGGATGCGCATGGCACATATCGACCAAGGCGGGCAGACATCCTGCTCACGACCAACAGGTTGTGATGATCTTCTTGAGGACCGTTGGCACAGATGTCACTTGGTCAGCTTGGATTTGTTGATTCAAGAGTCATCCACTCATCGATCGAACACGTTGTGGGACATCAGGATCGGATCTAATTATCTTATAGTATTAAATAGGTGGTCTTGCAGCTGAAACAGTGCATCTGGTAGACCTCTCTGGCTACGAAAATAAGAAAGAAAGGCTGAGACAGGTCATGTATGTCAGTAGCCACTAGTTGCCGTTGGTCTTCATGCCATCGCCGTCCAAGCTGCAGCCATGACCGGAGGACAGGAGGAAATGATCAAGTAAGAACCTTGACCTCAAGCACTGGTACATAGTACCCACCCCAAACCACCCACAACTGCTAGAAGCGCATGGAAAATTCAAGTTGTATCCCCTTCCCATTATAGATCTCGGTAGAATAACGTTCAATGTACAGTGAAGCTAGACCCATCAATTCAATGAAACTTCGCAGCAGCCCTGCCCTGCCCATCCTCCACAGCGAGAGGGCAACAGATCCTTCATTCGATGGCTAGGTGGCTAGGTGGATCCCTAGTGCTTGACGATGTGTTCGAGACCCAAGCAGCAGCAGCAGCAGCAGCAGCAGCCGCTTCTTTTCGCAGCCCGCCGCAGCCGCAGCAGCTATTTACCCAAACACGACCGCCATCTGGGGCTGGCAAAGGACTGCATACACTTGGGCTGCTTGGCTTCAGGGGTCTTTCTGGGGCGGCAGATGTGGACATGTCTTCCAGTCGCCTTGAGGTGTCTATAGCTGCTGGGCTTCTGAGTGAAACACCGCTCCGGGTCCGGTTCGGGTCCGGCTTCCGGGTCCTGCGGCCTAGCTAGATCCAGGAGAGAGTCAATACATGTCAATACACCAAAAAGTCTTTTTAATATCATCTCTACCAGCACCGACTTCACAGGTCACCAATTGAAACCTGTGCACGGGCCTTTCCCAACCCATTTCGGAGACCTGGCAGGGAAAGTGCTGGTACCTTCCGAAATCACCCATGCAGTGGTTTTTGGAGACCCCCACTCACCGTGCTGGCAGCAGTGTCTCAGGTCTCAGGACCGGAATCCTTCAGGTGCCGAAGTGGCTGCCCACGATGGCGCGGGTCTCCCGGTAGTTGGGATTCCCGTCCTTGGGAAAGTCACGGATCCTCAGCTTGAAATACCTCAGCCCGGGCGACTGCTCCGCTACTGCTCGGGTGCAGCCGCTGCAAAGAAGCGAGGTGGGAAGAGCGGCTGCTGAGGCACATGAACGGGTGAGTCCAGGAAGAGCACCCGGATCGGATCTCTTCGGTTCTTCACACTGTATGGGGCCTGGGCATCTGCCATTGGGCTAGCGGCTAGCTGATTTCATCGATGAAGATGAGTTCACCCTTGAGGGGTCTGGAAGAGCTAGGTGTTCAAGTCATGTGGGCGGTGGATTCATGTCTGGGCAACGGAATCTGGATGAATAGTTCTGTACCAAGAGAGGTTTTTCACAGCCCTAAGGTCGCCCATCCCATATGTACCACTACAGGGTCCTAGTTCAGGTCTCTCAACCTCTCTTGGTATATCTTGACCAACCCGGACCGTTGATGGCTTGATTGCAGACATCGGGTCCTGTAGTGACCTGTGAAGGAGAACGTCCCGGACTTGGACGAAGGGACCGCGGGCGACGATGGACTTAGACCTATCGCCAACACGGCCCTGTCTGGGACTGGAACCAACAGAGGTGGATAGTGACCTGAACGAGCCGGACCCGTCACCTATGGGGTCATAGGACTAGGGATATAGGACCTTACTGGGTAAGTGACCTATAGGTTGCTGATCCCTATAGGACCTTATACTGGGGTACCCAACTGGGAGTTCGTCGAACGTTCGGGTTCTTCAACCCACCTCTGTTGGATGTGCGCCCTGGTTTCGTCCAGGGAAGACCATGTTTCAGTTCCGCTCCGAGGAGTTTTGGTGGGTCCCAGTGAGTGATTGAATTGAAGGTCCTGGACAACACCTGACCAGCAGAGGTGGGTCAGAACCCGAACGAACTCGATCTGTCCTAGTTAGGTACCCCTGGTTTTCCGGGTCCGGCTTGACCTGGTCACTCTCCACCTCTGTTGGGAGAAGGTGGTGCCCTTCTAAGAGTCACTGGACGACTTCTGCCAGTAGTTTCAAGACGACCGACACTTCTGGTCCGGAGTCAACCTCTTCCCCCTGGAGTCGGACGGTCAGTTCAAACGCCCCCTTCCATGAACACCCGAGCTACACACCCGAGCTACAGTCCACCTTGACCCCTGAAACCTGGCCTTTTCTGCGTCCAACATGGTCCCTGAAACCTGGGTCCTACCACCTTCTCCTGCGGAAGATGGGCCGTTCCGAGCCCCCCCTTTTTTAGGGGATTGTATGTCCAGGTCGTCGTCGTTGGACGTGATTGGACTGGGACCTGGGGTGATGTAGAGTTGGACCTAGAGTTTCTACATCCATCGCCAGCGTGCTGACACTGGGCCCTGGAGGTCCGGACCCAGGTGCCCTGGAGGTCCGGACCTGGAGACCTGTAAGTAAACTCGAAGGCCAGGACACCCATGTCCAGGATGACCCTGGCTTGCTTGTTGGATTGGTGTCACCATCAATGGCAAGTCCATATATCATCCACCCTTGGCCTTTTGGGTGCTAAGGAGATGTGTTCTAACATGTTCTAAATATGTCTAAATAACCTTAAGAGAGATTCTTAAGAGATCCAGCACCAGGGAAAGGGTGATACCCACTGATGGCCCCTTAGAGGTGATTCGGGGTGTCCATCAACCACCCCTTGGGGGTCCAGGATCAGGTCCATCCCCCACCCGTACCCCACGGTCCTGCCACGACCCGGACGGTTCGGATGGTTCCCAGCGGCGTGGCGGTGCGGATCATCTTCAACATGTCCACGCGGTGAACGTACTCGATCTTCTTGGAATTCCTCAGAAACCAAACACCTCCCGTCAGCTGAAGTCAGCTGGCTGAAAAGATCTGGATTTGAACGTGACACATGCTGACACGTTGATTTTCCCAGGGATTTTCGACCGGCGGAGCGAACACTAAGTGTTCACTTCCCGGTTCTTCAATCTGACAATACTTGATCCCCTGGCTTTGAGGTCCTGGTTAGGACTTAGGACCCTCTCCCCAGACACGACCTGTGTCCATGGAAGAGGCCATACTCGCACACATTGGGGTGGTTGATTTCAGGAGTCCAGTCAATGTACACTCCGAAACATATCGCATGGAAGTGGGAAGAAACAAACCTATTTGAAAAGAACAACAGTCTTCCTCTCGGGACCATGCCATGCCACATTCCAGCACCCGAGACCGACCTGCCAGGTCACCTCACCAGGTCCACTGACTTTTAAGATCTCCATTTCAGCTACCAAGGACCAAGCGGAGACCTGAGTCTTCGGTCTTCGGTCGGGTGCTGGTTCCATGCGATGTGCTGGTGCTTAGCTTCGGTCGCCTCGTCGCCGTCCAGGGACCTGAGACATGGACCTGCTCGTGTCACCTTCCATCCGAGCCCAAACACCGGTTAAAGAAACCAATCCCCGCAAACACGGTTTGTTTATCCAGAAGCTCCATGTACCCTATAGACTTCCACCAGTAAAACAATGGTTGACCTGGTTTTTGTAGTGTAAAATCCTTAGTTGATTCGGTAAAAGCCTAGGGTGTATATATTCCGATCAGGCCAGGGGTGGTGCCAGGGGGGCCAATCCCCCAAAAACGGTTTATAAGGTTATCCACTTGTCCTGGGAACACGGCATTGGCAGGGCCGCAGTTTGAAGCCGAAACGAAGCCCAAAAGCTGGGCGAGCTGAGGCAAAAAACCGCCCACCAAGCACCGCCCACCAAGCTGGGCGAGCTTTGAGCCCCCCCCAAATCCTGCCTGAGCTGTGCTCACCACGAATGTACAGCGATGGTGCCATTATGTGCCATTCGATGACAGCAACACTCTTCTATGATATTTTTGCAGTTGGCGAAGAAAAGACACGTGACAATTATTAAAGAACGGCATCCTCCAAATGCACGAGTCCCAATGTGTGTGACAGAGTCCGGGATGCTCAATCTTGCCAATTTGCAGCAATTGTGAAAGGCTTGGTCGCCAATGTGCATCACAGAGTTCTGAATGGTCAAGTTTACAAGAGAGCTGCAACCTGCAAAGGCACTTCTCCCAATGTGGGTCACAGAGCCCGGGATGGTCAAGTTCACCAAAGACCTGCACCCTAAAAAGGAGTCAGTATGAATGTGGGTCACTGAGTCTGGGATGGTCAAGTTTACCAACGACCTGCATGCCGCAAAGGCCCCCTCCCCAATGTGAGTCACTGAATTCGGGGATGGTCAGGCTCGCAAGCTGCAATTCATAAAGGCATATAGGTCTCAATCCATCTCACCGAATCTGGGATTATCAACTTTGCCGGCATCGCGCAGCTGTTGAAGGCCCTGTCAGCGATTCGAGTTTCATGGATTGGGAGTTCAACGACGAGCAACACTTCTGGGTCAATCTCACTGCTGCGGCTGTCAATCTCATCTGTGCTAGAGCATCTGATTCTGTTTGGCTTGAAGACAACGCTCACAACATCACCTGCAGTGACCCCTACATTCGCCAGCGTTTCATCCTTGCTGAGCAGGCGGTGTCCAACAATGATGTTCACCCCAGTTCTGCTTCGTCTCCTCATCCCAGGTGCTACCTGCCTTTGATCTGCTGCCCTTCGCTCTCTACCGGTCTCTACCTCGGCGGGTGACTTCTGGGCGAGCCAAATCCTCGCCGTTGACCTGACATACAGGTCAATCCTCATGGAGCCGCCCGGGCTTCAAAACCAGTCCGGTGGGGTGCCCTCGTG